GGTTCATATCCCTCAAACGCCAAGCGTGGTAACCCGAATATCAGGATTTCGACGACTTCGAGTAGTTCACGGGCCTGGTTCCCCCAAAACGGCCCATGCCTAACTGACACATCATAAAACATTCCCGTCGTCTGCGGCCGAAAGAAGTGGGTCCAGACTAAGGTCGAGTCCACCAGGTCTCTTGCCCTTGAGAGGCTGCCAAATACCAAGTCCACCATCAAACGAGGCACTCGGCACCGCAATCCCGTCATCGGGGCCCTAAACTCTCGCCATCCTCCTACCTCCATCCGGGTTCTCAGTCCCACGTTCCTTCTTCCTCACACCTCCTGACCTATCCAGTTCACTATCCTAGAAGCCCTTTGGAAGATCGGTAACAACCCATGCCCTAGTGCCAACTCCGTTCCTAGCATGTTCCATCCAGTCTCTGGAAGGTATACGGTTCCAGTCACCTTCAAATCGGTATACAGGTCGTCCCCCGACCCCCTATTGATCCTCATACCACTCCACAAACATTCTACCATCGTGAACGTCTGGTTCCTTCCTAAGGTCACAGCTCTCCATTCAGTATCAATCCCTTGGACCATGTAGCTTGCCGGGAGCGATACCTCTCATCCGCCTCCACTTTTCATGGGCGGTCGAGGGTGCGTGGGCCGTCGCGACATCCAGGCGCGTCTCATCGCCATTGTTGATTAGCGGTTCCCTGCACAGTTTAAACAACAAGCGAGGTTTTCGTTATAAGTGAAATTGTTTTCATGTTCACTTTTTTTTTTAACTGTAAAATGGCAGAACGAAATGAGAAAATTATAGACGAAATAACGACAAAGCAAAATAACGTCAAAACAAAATAATGACAAAGCAAAATAAGGACGAAACAATGTTCATATATCAAAGCTTAGCAATGCAAAGTTGAAGGAACGATAAAACAATGCTCATATATGAAAAGTTGAAGGAAAAATTTAATGTGACAGTCATGATTGTACAAGTTCAAAACAATTATGGTCTCGTGTTGCTTGTGCTCAAAATATAATACAATGTCAAGTTTTTACCTCGAATGTTTACACTCAGTAAACATGTCAATCTCATCAACAAAATATTAACTACGGACTGTAGCTTTCGTCGCACCTCATTGACTTTCCTATCTAACCATGGACAAAATGTCAAATGTTATTCTAAGCCTCATATCAGAAATATTGGCTTGTGAGAAAGCAAATGGAGGAAAGTGACCTCCGGCAAGCAAAGATGCAAAACCTAACATAAAAACACCACAACTACAAGGATCCTCTTGGGCAGGAATCCCATCTACTGATGTATCAAAGTAGGATGTAGGCCCGTCCACATTATATCTTTCGTGAAGATTGTGTCGATGAAACTCCGCTTCGAAAAAATCTTCCAAACGTTCAAGGACTGAAACATAGTCAACACGAGGGATAGAGTCTATGAGGTGGAATTTACAGTTCGGACCGTCTATGCTGACATAAGCTAAGGCCCAGTAATTTCCAAAATGAAGAGGGATAATCACTAAGTTATAATAAAAAAGATTTGTGTCCTTCACCCATTTCATCCCTTCGGAATATGCGGTTTCAAACCTCGAAGCACCTGACAATCGAGTGAAGAAAAATGAATTGAAAATGTACACAAAAGAAATACTACAAGAGTTTTCATGATCTCTTGTCACTTCTGTACATGCCGAATCAACCTTGATGTGGTCATTGGTGATCTGGATGGCTAGCAGGTACAAATTGACGACTTCGTCATTTAACCATTTCCCATCCTTGGCGACGACCATGATGTCTTCCTTTCCCACCTTCCAACTCCCCTTGTAATACACAATGCCGTATGATTCATTGTCTTCGCTGCTGCCTGTAATCATGTCAAGATACTCCTTTTCTTCTACGGTGAGGTGTTCTGTTGCTAAAGGAATCTGAAACGAAGGGTCATGAACTGCATACAAACACACATATAAACAACAATGAAACGACTAAGACTTCATACAAAAACGAACTTTTCGTTATGTGATGTACGACGTAGACCCGAGTTCATGTTTTTGGTTGTCTATCTGTTTCTTTATCAGAGTTGCCATCCACAATAGTTAAACTGCAACCTTCGCGATGCAATTTCTTCTCTTCTCTGAGGCTTATTCCAACAGCTTCAAACATCCTTAGGGCAGCTGGCTTCATAGATGAAAATGTCATGGGTGTAAGTCTTCTTCTCTCTTTTTTGGCAATAACGACAAAGTTGATAAGGCTTGCAATCCACGACGAATGATATTGTTCTCACTCTGCGTTTGCGAACGTACGTGCGTCGTTTTCCACAGTTCTTTTCGTCGCCCTGCATGTTCATCAATATAAAACGACAATGATTGACAAGACAAAACATTATGAGTTTAAGTTCAATTCTCCACATAATTGCAAATAAGAGATACACAATATTCTACTTAATTTCTTCTCATCACCGAGTGTACGGTTGCAAGCCTAGGCAAACAATTAGTTTCTATGAGTGCATGTAATGTACCCCCTAATCCGCGTACAGTATTAGATATTCCCTTAGAGATAAGTACGTGCTCACCTCGGTGGTTGACTGACACTTTATCTTCAACACGACCTTCTATCGCATCATGCGATGACGTAAAAGGAGATTCGTCGATAGATATCACGAGGTTAGCAGATTGTTGTGCTTATGATTTTGCAAGCATAAGTTCAGGCTGTACAAGCGTATGTTGCTCCCGTGTACTGAGTACTATATGTCCTTCATCCTCTTCGATGGTCTGTGCATTGACAGTTTCCTTTGCACCTGCAGTCGCGCTTTCATTCTTCATGTCCAGAGAGACTTCATGCTCATCTTTCTCAACTGGCATATCCAACGATGGCATCTCTAATTCTGCAAGTGCACCAGTATTATCCACTTGCGTAGTAACCCTCTCGCTCGCCAACACAGTGGTCACCCAAACTTGGTCATCCGGAAGGACCTCCTCAACACATTTCGGCAGTTCTCCATGACTTACGCCCTTGACGCTTGCACCGCCGCTTGCTCCCAAATCCTTGCCACTTGCATCGCCTCTCGATCCCCTGCCATGTGCACCGCTACTTTGTCCTGATCCAAGAGGCGATCCCGATCCCTTGTCATGTGCACCGCCGCTTGGTCCTAGTTCCAGAGGCGAACCCGATCCCCTGCAATGTGCACTGCTGCTTTGTCCTGATCCCAGAGGCGATCCCGATCCCTTGTCATGTGCACCATCGCTTGGTCCTGATACCTTTCCCTCTGTTGCTTGACGCCCTTGACACATTTCGTGTTTTTGCAGTTCACCATGAGTTATTGGCTTTCCACTTGCACCAACGCTCGGTCCCAGGCCCTTGCCACTGGCACCGCCCCATGGTTCCGATCCCTTGCCAAGTTCACCACGGCTTGATCTTGTTCCCTTGCCACGCGCACCGCCGCCTGATCCTGATCCCTTGCCACTCGAATCGCCGCTCGCTCCTTTCCTTTCCCCAGCTTTGTCTTGAAGTTCCTTTTCGATACGCCAATTATATCCAAAAGTTGGACTTGTTTCTCGATCATATAACAATTCCAGATACTCAAGCCATCGAGATGTTTTGAACTCCTAAAAAAATTATTCTCTCCTTGCATCCAGTCTTGATTGAGAAACCTTCGGATTAAGTCGCAGCAATCGCTTGCCAATCTGATTTTTGGCGTGTGCGACAAACTTGGATTCTGACATACGTCTGTGGAGGCCTAATTGCCACTCCCCTTCTTCTTTGATAGCCATTACCCAGTTCCCTCTTGCCAATGCAAGTTGGAAGCGGTGGGGGTGCCATATAATGTGATGACCCCATACGTTGTCAGGCATCACCGTATAATCGTCTCGGCACACAATAGGTCCAGGAAGCTGTGCAATGTCCGGAGGGATCCTGTCTCCAATCTCGTACTCCAAAGATTCAGACGGGGGTTGTTGTGGAGTTTGAGAGCGTAGCAATTCCAAAACAACAGTCGGGTTTTGTGCAAGTGATGATAGACTTGCAATAATCTTTGGGGAGAGCATTGGTTGCACCCTCGGACTCGGGCCATGTGCGAGTGCTGACATACTTGCAATAACCTTTGGGGAGAGCATTGCCTGCACCCTCGGATCATCCCGAACTGCGCCGGAAGGTAGCGATGTTGTGTTGCCCGCCATGTGAGAAGGTGTAACTTGCACAAGAGAAGAAGTTGAGGGACGATTCGGTAACTGGTCCGTTGAAACTACCATACTTGAAGCCCCTTCAGAACCGGACGATGTGCCCGACGCACCCATCTTCTGCGAAGCCGAGCTACAAGCTTTTTGCCTCTCATCTGCCAAAGCCGCTTGCAAAGTACCATCTTCACTTTCTTCTTCTGAGTCCTCAACATCAAAGCCCTCCCCAAAACAAGTTGCATAAGCTGCGATTGTAAACGTCCCGATGTGTTCGCCGAAGTACATCATCTCCAAACGGTCTAGAAATGCAACTTCCGTCTCCGCCGGTGCCTTATGATACCCCCTTCAGAAGTGATTCAATTTTTCGCCTTCTGACGACATATGCACGTTCCCCTCTGTTTTGTGGCTTCGTCTCGAAAAGGAACTCCCAAATGCTGACGATGTTTTGGCCGACTTTGTAGACGAGATCACGCCCTTCATCATGTCGAGGAGGCGGCTTAATAAATTTGGCGTAGTAACCTCCAGTCATGACCATCCTGTTGACGAATTGAACGAGAAACTCGAACTTCATACCCTCCCCCTCCAGAACAATGCAATGATGGAGACTCTTTAACAACTCCCAAATCAACGCCGCATGACCTTTTCTCAGAAAAACAATCGCCTCATCCGCAGGACAAAAATGCTCCAATGTCTCCACCATCGCATTTGGCTCCCTTTCCATACCTTCGTACACAGATTTCTCCTTTGGCTCCATACCTGCCATTTTCAACTTCGTGGGCGTGAAGTTCTTCTCCACGACATCAGTCAACATGTTTGACTTTCTCTCTCTGCGCACAAGTGCTGATAAGTCACCCGCCTGCTCGCCAGATGATCGATCTGTAGCTGGAGTGCTTGCTGGAATGTCTTCAAGCAAGGGAATAGTGTTGTGGTGATAATCCCCATCGTTGGAGTACATGATGACAGTCATTCTGTCGGTGTCCTCCAAAGGCAAGTTCGCAACCTTATGTGAATGCTTCGCCTTCGTTTGTTGCTGACGAGTCCACTTTAGAAGAGACAAGTGAATGTCCCAACGTGTCACTCGGTTGAAAAATGTAAACTTGTAAGACCGCGGAACGAAGCACAATAATGTCCAATAATCACCAGCCAGTTTTCCCATGAACTTCCATAGACCATCAAAGACTTCTTCAGTCCACATACCCATCTGGGTTGGGTGACACAAATCCAGCACGGCCGTGTGGCAACTCAAATGTTTGACGACTCTATACATTTCTTTGGAATCCATCTCTTCCGAAATATCGCTTGGTTCTCATTCAAACGGGACGAAAACAGAGTCCACGTTCTGTTTTTGGAAATGTATATATTTCGTCGTGCCCGACATTCTTATGCTTTGCGAACCCCTGGTTTCTAATTTGCGCAGCAGCTTATTGACAAATTGCACGAACTCTTCGGGGCACTTCGCAACAAGTGATGTTGTTTTCTTGAATCCCTCTTCTCCTTTTTCCTCCTCTCCTCCAAGTGTAGCCGGGAACGTTCGCACCCAATTCATGTCTTTGAAATAGTGACGTTGGTCGATCCACCTCTCAGACGTCAATCCTTGATTACGGTACTTATCAAACACATCGGAAAGGTTCTCGAAGAATGGTTCCGTCCACTCTGACGACTTCCTGTGAGGGTCAGAAATGAAGATGAAGTAGTGAAACATCCTCAACATTGCTCTTTCAATCTTTACCATTTCCACGTATGTCTCCGTTGAATGTTTTCCGGCACGTTGAGCAACTCCACTTTGCTTAGGAGTCAGTATTACATTGCCTGTGAGAATGTTTCGCAACAGTTGAAGCCGCTCACGCCTCCCAAGCGCTGAAAAAGGTTTCCAAGCTCTGATATCCGGATCGTGCACAGCCACGAGGTAACCGGGTCCTTTGGTTCCCTGAACCCAATCTACCGGAAGCCTAACTTCACCTTTCAACTCAAATCCGGGTCCAGCCCTCGGTGCCGTCCCTGATTCACCTTGTTTGGTAGCAGGCTTCACAGCATCTCTCCCCGGCAATTGTCCAGCTTCCCAAGCGGCGTACTCTTGTTTCACCTTTTCGAAAACGTCATCTGTCGCCCTTGCCAATAACATGTAGGGCCCCAGGGCATCAGACCACTGGCCGCTCCATTGAGTAGTAAGGGAAATGTCAACCAAATAATTTATCCCGGTCAAACGAAGAGCCTCTCCTGCAAACTTTTTATAATCTGCATTTTTCACTTCCGCCGCAGAGCCACCTTTAGCTTCAGCACAGTTCGATGCGTGCCACAACTTCCGTATGTTCTAGAAGACCACGATCTGGTACGGTGGGGTATTCCATTTGTCCTTTGCGTTCTGGAAAGTGCTCAGCGTGCTGTAATTGTCCATGCTCTTATCCCGATAATAAACAGGCCTCGTAGTCCAGCGATCCAATCGGAGCTCTTGTGCGATGTCAGGGTGTTCAACAAAACACCTTCTTGCCGCCGCTACGTTATGCTGATCGCTAAGAGGGTAGTAGTAGTACTTGTTCACAGAGCCGAGGTCGAATTCATGGGGCAGCACCCTCCTCGCTCTCACAATCCTCCCTGAAGCGTGAGTATGCATTGTATCATGGATGGCAACCCACAAAAGGACATGTTTTTCATACAATGTACAAACATTTACACCGGCAACTCCAGTCGTTCTCTCTCTGATAGCAGCCTCACCCGATGCAACTATTGCATCATAAATGTCATCAATCATCTGTTGCACAAGATAACTTTGATTGTATCTGAATTCCACGTCGGGGATATCCAGAATTCTGTCGAACTTGACAGAAATGAATTCCATGTCTGGACACTGGTTCCCATGCTCGTCCAACTCAAGGAGAAAGCCTTTGCTGAGAACACCAGAAGAAGCATCCGATGGCACATTTCGCGAACTTGGCGGCCTAGTAACTGTCTTGCCTGCAGCCTCTTCATCCGATTGGGGTTGTTTCGCAGGAAAAACGGAAGTCTTTTCCATGACACCACCCTTTGCCGTTTTTTTCTTTGGCTGCTTCTTTTTCTTCGTGGCCGCCTCAATCTCCCGTGTGCGCTGGACCGCCTCATCCACGGGCAATAGTTTCAATTGTCTTTTCTGACCCGCTTCCTGCTTACTCCGTTTACTATCCAAAACACTTCTCCTCTCCTGCCTGTGCTTCCTCTTTCGCTCGGCGAGCCCTGCAGCATCTGTATGCACAGTCACAGCCACTGTCTCGTGGTCCACCCCCCCTCGTGTTGGATGCACATCCTCCTCACATCCTTCGTCGCTGCCCCCATATCCCCCTGCCAGACCAACCTCTCCACCCAATTCGCTGATAGTGTGCTCAGTGTCGTCATCACGTCCAACCACTTTACTTTTTCCCCCATAGCGCCTCGTCATGTCACCGACACCCACCGCATACTATTCTTGTCCTCCTCCTCGTTCTGAATATTCCTCGTTGTTCTCGTCATCATCATCTTCAAAATATTCAAGGGCTTCCTCTGTGCGGCTTGGCACAGTGTAGTCGCAGCGCTGCTGGCCCACTAAGGAGAGAGGTCCCTTGGTGGCTGCTGCATAGCGCGATTGGCTACCCAAGGCAACTGGTGCTTTGCTTGCCGTTGGCCTGGACTTCACAGGGGCTGACGGCACGACCAGTCCGCGGTACGGACCCTTCTCTCCAATCTGCCCAGCGTTCGGAGTCGGCGGTGTGTCGTGGATCGTGATGGAAGGCCCAGTCTCCACGGTTTTCGAAAGCACGCATTTAGGCTCCGATATGCGGTCTTCCGGATGCACAACCGGCTCTCCGCCCGCGATCACATTACTGTCGAAAAACCCGAGGACATCTATGAGGTCAGACAACTTCACTTCCGTACTCGGTGGTGTGTTGAATACATCAACGAGCGACTTCCCATATCCTGCGTGTTTGGCCCATCGAAGAGTGACGTGTTTAACATTCGACATCCTTTCCCCTCTTCCATTCAGGACCATCGTCAACTCGAACATTGCAGATGGTGCACCTTGTCCAGTCCACCTCACCAGGCCACCTACCGACACAGTATTTTCTTTTATGACCACGTATAGAACAAGGCCGCTCGATGGTTCTCCGATCTCCCCCACCCAGTCCAGCATCCAGAACTTGTCCTTGTGATTAACCACGGGCACATCGTCCCGYCGACCCGCGGCAGTCGTTTCACCAGACGGTTTACGTCCGGGCACAGCGTCCACTGCAGATCTTCCCTGCCGCGGACCAGGCACACGTTCCTGACCCGCAGGCCCCCCAGTCATCAACACAGCCTTATCCGGTCCAGAGCCCCGAGCACGAGTCGACGGAGTGTCTGTGGAAGGTGCAACCCTCGGAACTGAAGTGCSTGTAGAAGGCCCACTCCGTGGAACTGGAGTGCCTGTGGAAGGCGCAACCCGCGGAAACAGGGTGCGTTGGCGCTTAGTCCCCGGTGTCTCTGGACTCCCCCCTCCAGCGGTCGGCGTCCCCTTCAATTTTTTCGGAGATTGTTCCATGCTCCCAGAACTCTTACTTGATCGTCGCTTACTTGMCTTCCCCTCTCGTTCCATGTTTTGCAGCGTTGTCGAATCTGAAAGCAACACAGCACACCACCGCAAAGCCAAATATCAGAAGGTCGCCCAACATTGGCATGGCACGACGAGTARAAAAGTGAAATGTTTTAGATAGTGGTAAGGCAGCCCCGGAGATAGAGTTCGAACCGATCGCGATCATGCTCGCCTGGACTCGACCGTGTTGGACGCGATCGTGTTCGTGTTCGACTTGATCGTGTTCGACTTGATCGTGATGGGTCAGCTCGATCGTGTTCGACTCGATCGTGGTGGGCCAGTGTGACCCACAAGATTGCGATCGTGCTCGTGACCCAGAGGCGTGCTCGCAGCTCGATCGAGTTCGACTCGAACGTGGTGGGCCAGCGCGGCCCTTGAGGCCAGCTCGATCGTGTTCGACTCGATTGTTGCTGGCCATCGTGACAGAGAACGGGAGCGGCGTATCCAAGAGCAGGCAAACAGAACACGGTAGCGGCGTATCCAATGAGTCACATCAAACAAGGCACATCAATCGAGGCAGCCGACTATCGACCAATGCAACGCTATCAATTCAGAATTTAAAGCCTACATCCATTCTCAATTCCAAGCATTCAATTGGCAACGCATGCAATCGGCACCCACAACGAGTGATACACAGTCTCAACGCATGTAATCGGCATCGACAATCTCACATCAAACTTACTGCTCCCATAACATACATAGTCTCAGTTCACACTCTTGCTGAATAGCACACATTTCTTAGTCTCGGTTCACACTCTTGCTGAAAAGCTCACATTTCTTACACTGTTCATCCCCCACGACCTCTCCCACGACCTCGTCTATCGTTTAGCCCCGAAACCGTACAGTGTGTCTAGGGATAAACCGTATGTCACGAGCTGGGGACTAGACAGGGTAGCAGTGGTGGAGAAGCGAGACACGTATCGCGCTCGGACGAAACCACATGTTCTGGCTAAAGTGTGACCGATGGCGTCTCGAATGACCGTCACGTACTCCTCAACCTCCTCCCAATGCTGGGGTGCGTCAACCTGCCCCGCCAATTTCACGTCAAACTTACCGTTCCTATAACCATGCGGTAACAAAATCGTGTCCCCGTCAACGATGAGCTCGTTTCTAGACACGTAAATAGCTGCCTCTGCTGAAGTCTTACTTCTATTTCTTACCGAAACACACAGAACCCTAGCGAAAGGGAAACGATAGAGTTCAACATGCACGCAGAAGTACGACACACTCCCCGTCAAGTTGTCCTCGAAGGGAAGGGGATATTTCTCTAGAAACTGGTTGTATTTCGCACAGTCCAGCAACTCCTCCTTCATCGATGGTCCCCACAAGCGCGGCAAACACGACACGTTGTGCGCAGTCAACGATAAAGACAAGCCTCGGGTACGAAACGCTGTACACAACCTCGGTGTGTGTTTGGTCATGAGGATGTGGTCAAGGAAGATGAATGTCCCCCATTCCTGGCTGGAGGCAAGTCGATAATCAGCCGCCCATGGGCAGTCTTTCATGGTGTTCTCCCAGTCTAACTCGGACCATGCATCGAAAGGCCTGTCAAGCCAGGGCACAACGTGCATCCAAGGGTCCGATTCGAAGTCATCTCTTCGAGCCCCAAGTATAGTAGTCGCCTCCCTTGAACCCCGCATGTACGGCGCGCTAGCATTCAAAGGGAAAGATTAATCGAACCAGTGAGCCATCACGTATGTCCTACACACACAAGCGATTGACGACCACAACAAACACTCAGGGAACGAGAGAGCCATTGCTAAGGTCGAACCAATATCGCACACACAACAAGGAGCCATCGCAGTTGCGAATGTCGTGCACACAACAAGGAGCCATCGCAGTTACACACAACAAGGAGCCATGCAAATCTCCAATACACAAGGAGAAGACACACAGAACGACAAGCGAGGCAAACTCGACGGTCATCGTCATGTTCGTCTCGACAAAGGCCATCGGCGCCTATCCATCGTCGAGTCCGAATCGACGACGACCAAGGCCAGACGACCGTCATCGAGCTCGAATCGACAACGGTCCAGCGTCAAGACATATGGCCAGACGACCGTCGTCGAGTTGGACTCGATGGTGGTCAGACGGCCGTTGTCGAGTTGGACTCGACAGTGGCCTCACGGACTTTGTCGAGTCAAACTCGACAGTGGCCAGAGGCCGTCGTCGAGTCGGTCGTCGTCGAGTTGGACTCGACAGTGGCCTCACGGCCTTCGTCGAGTCGAACTCGACAGTGGCCGGAGGCCGTCGTCGAGTCGAACTCGACATATGGCCGTTGTCGAGTCGAACTCGACGGTCGACCAACGCCAAGGCCTCTGGCCATTGTCGAGTCCGACTCGACGATGACCGCAGGCTGTCGTCGAGTTCGACTCGACAGTGACCAGACGGCCGTCATCGAGTTGGAGTCGACAGTGGCCTCACGGCCTTCGTCGAGTCGAACTCGACAGTGGCCGGAGGCCGTCGTCAAGTCGAACTCGACATATGGCCGTCGTTGAGTCGAACTTGACGGTCGGCCAACGCCAAGGCCTCTGGCCATTGTCGAGTCCGACTCGACGATGACCGCAGGCCGACGTCGAGTTCGACTCAACAGTGGCCAGACGGCCGTCGTCGAGCTAGACTCGACAGTGGCCACACGGCCGTCGTCCGGTTCGACTCGACAGTGGCGGGAGGCCATCGCCGAGTCGAACTCGACATATGGCCAGACGGCCGTCGTCGAATCGAACTCGACGGTCGGCCAGCGCCAAGGCCTCTGGCCATGGTCGAGTCCGACTCGACGATGACCTCAGACCGTTGTCGAGTTCGACTCGACAATGGCCATAGGCCTCGACGCTGGTCCACCGTCGAGTTCGACTCGACGACGACCTCTGCGCGTGCGGAAATGCCACGTGGCAGCACGTCGTTGCTTCACGGGGGTTTACTGTTCTCCTAGGCCTCCGCTGCTGCCTTCGATGAGAATGCTCGGAACTTCGCTCTGATGCTGCGCGAACCTCGATGCGAGTGGGAGCTCCGTTGTGTTCTGCGCGAGCCCTCAATGTGCTAGTGAGCGCTCCGCCAGGTTCGAACGATGCCCCGCGAACCACCGCAGCGCTCTGTCGTTCTCGACAAACTTCCTGAAATGAAAAATGGTGGGCCCACACCAATATTTATACTTTCTGTGGAGGGCAAAATGGACGCTCGGCACAGCCGTCCGATCGCGAGATCTTGACGGTTGGGATGTCCGGCAGTGCGGCCTGCGGGGTGTGGATTCGGGTTTCGGTGCCGCTGAGGAATCGGTGCCGAGGGAGCGACGTTTCGGTCCCGGGAAAGTCTAGGCCGTCGATCCGTCGGCCGAGGGCCAGGATCGGGTACGGGGAAAACTGGTGCCGCGGGGAGAATCGGTGCCAGGGGGGGCGACGATTCGACTGCCGGTGCCTTCCGCGACTATTCAAACGGGATCCGTAGGTGGATCCAAGGGTCTTTTCCCTTGCATCGCTCGGTGAGAAAAGTACCGGTGCAGTGTCACCTTCGCGTCGACGTGACAGACGGCTGCGTTGCTCCGCCACGGCAGCTGCGTTGCTGCTCCGATTCGTGCCTCCTTTGACCCAGGTGAGTTCAGAATCCACACCCCCCCCGCCAACCCCCCCCCCAACCCCCCCGCCCCCCAACTCCCCCACCCCTCTGCCCCCCCCTTTCGCCGTTCGTGGTTTTTCAGGATGTCTACAAAATTTCTTTGACAGTTCACAGAGGCGTCCATCATCGAGTCCGACACGACGACCGTCGTGTTAAACACGATGACGGTCGAGCGCGAACATGTCCATCACGTGTTGAACACGACCCCACCGCTGTGTTCAACACGATGACGGTCGCTGTCATCGTGTTGACCACGACCGAGGTGGTTCGCCATGACCCCACGGTCGTGTTCAATACGGTGACGGTCGTATTCAACTCGATGACGGTCGTTGTCGTAGTGTTGAACTCGACCGCGGTGGCTCGCCGCCGTGTCGGTGATCGTGTTCAACACGACGACGGTCGAGCGCAGACATGTTCACCTAGAAAGCACTGTCGTGTTCAACACGACGACAGTCGCTCATTGTCGTCTTCAACACGATCGTGGTGGCTGTTGTGCAGAGACGGGTATCGAGCGCGACACGACGACGGTCGAGCACGGACATGTTGGACACGACCGCGCCATCGTGTTGAACGCGATGACGGTGGCAGTCACGGCGTGCGCCTGTCGTGTTGTGCAATGCGATGATGCGTCATCGTGTTCACCGACCGCGGCGGCAGATCATCACGTTTAACACGACAGTCGGTGGCTGTTCAACACGACATCGGTCGTCGTATTCAACAACCCCGGTCGACGTGTTCGAGTCGGTCGTCGTGTCTCTAGCGCATGGCTTCTGTTGCTGACTGTGTTTTTTTTCCCGCCTTCACCGGGCTGATCTTTTACATCAGCTGTGTGTGGCTAGCAGTGGCCGCGCTGTACCGCGTGTGTTGCACTCTATGTATACCGGATCACACTGGAAATGAACTTGGAAAGAGCCTTGGAATGAAACTTCTCTTTTTCTAGTCTTTGGCCTCAGCAAGAGGGGGATACCGATGCATGCACCACGACCCCAAGACCTCTATCCCTTTGAGGGGAAAAGTCTTAGCGCGACCTGTTCCTCTTCGAGAGGGTGAGGGTTAAAGGACTAAGGCACCTACCACTTGCATCGGTGCGGGACGTCCGGAACCACCTCCGACAATGAGCTCTAGTCGGGGAGTTCCAACTGCGCCTCCTGTTGAATGCCTAAACGTCAAAGGGCGAGAGAGCCAAACGGGCAGGAAAGTCATTCTCATCTAGTCTATTTTGCTACTCTCCAACCACACGTCACGCCATAGAGGGGTGGCATGGCCGTTTGGGTCGGACCACGACCGCCCGCACTAAGTTGGGCGACACTGTCCAAGGGGAGAGGCCGGATGAGGTACCGGGTGGAGTCCGCCACCACCACGGGGCATTGACACTACCCTGCCGGAACATTGCAACCGTTTCGGGACTAATTGCGAAGACTTCATAACTGCACTCACGAACTGATCGAGAGTCCCAACTCTCTTGAAAGGAAGAGGTCGGAATCCATAAAACCACCACTCGGGAGGAACGATTCGCGAGGAACGCTCTTACGGCTAGACGAGGCCTTGGCAGGCTTGGATTGGACCTACCTGGCAGACGTAAGCACGAACCTTGGTATTGGTGCTCGCCACGTAAAAGAAGAAAGGTCGGACCGGCTAGAAGGATGACATGTCGTCCGCTGGGGAAGAACTGATCACTCTTCCTTGTGTGAAGCGGATGGGCTTGTGTCCTTGACTTGAGGTCGGCGGGCCAAAGGTCTGTGTACCTCCGAGTGAGAACCAGTCGCGCAATGGGGACATCGTGTTTTGAGTGGGGGAAAGGTGTGCCGTCTACCAATGAATACGCATAAAAATAAGACTTGTAATTGGTCTTGGAAAAAAGGGGTCTGTCAAGATGGCGGGAACAGAAAAAGATTGTAATTGACTTTGTATGGGCCTGAGAAAAAGGGGTCTGGCAAGACGCCAGAGCAGAAAAGACTTAAGTGACATGGTATAAACTTGAGAAAATGGCTTGGCAAGATAGCCAAGAAGGAAAGGGCTGGTATGATTGACTTTGCATAGACCCAGGAAAGGAATTGGCAGATTGAGAATTGGCTGTGTAATTGGCTCGTATAAGCTCGAAAAGATGAGAAGTGGCTGAGGGGTGAGCCAAGCAATGAACATGGAGAGTCAATTAAGTTAAGGGCAAGAAAAGGCAGAGGATGAGAT